TTGAGTTGTCTTCTTCTTCTTCTTTAACCCGAAAACATTCAAGAATGAATGCGAGTTTTCATCTTGTTGTTGCGGTTCCTGTACTCTAGAGTTTGTGCTTCTAAACCTAATCTCATATTTACTATAGATCGAATATATTTTCGCCTTTATTATTTAAAATTGGTCTGTATAAGTGATGCCTAAAAAGTCACCTAAGTTTTCTAAACCACTTTCTAATCCGTCTAATTTTAATCCAGGATCAAAAATTATACCTAAACCATATAACAAAGGCAACTTAGACCAATATTTTTTAAATTTATTTTCCATAGACTGAATAGGAACTCCTAAGATTGGGTCCTCCCTATATTCGTGAAATAAAATACTAATTCTTAAAAGTAAGTTGAGTTCCATCTTATAGGCATATCTAACGCTAATACTCTAGGAGGTATATTTAATGCTTGTAAGAACCTAAACCAATCTTCTTGTCTTTGGTTACTACCTTGAATCCATGCAAGACTATCTCTAATTCTATTAATGTGATTATCCATTTCTTTTAAACCGGATTTAACTATGAAATTGATTACATGACATGCACAACGTTGGTGAAAAATAGTACCGTCACCGAATAGACTTAAATCATTTTCAAAGAATTCAATTGCTTTTGTATTGGCACTAGCATTATCTAATGTTATATTCATTACTTTATCTCTTAATCTAAATTCATCAATTACACTTAAAATTGTGTTATATATTAAATCCACGCTATGTGATCCTAGAAGACAATTAAAACTTAATATTCTCTTATCTAAATCAAATCCTTTAAGTAATGTCCGGTTATAGCTAAATAATCTTTATGGCAATGGCAGACCAAATATCTATCGTTAACGCAACCCACTAGTCGAGTGTAAAATGTTTATTAATGCATCTTTTTTTTAAATAATTTTAATAAATCTTTCCTAAGAGTAGTTTTTGAAGTGAACTGTGCATTAAGATTGTGTACAACCTTAATATATCGTTGCCAATTAGGATGCTCTACAAAACTAAGTGGTTGATCTAAATCAGCTATCATTCACACAACTTCCATACGATCTACTTGCGGATCGTATTTCCAAGTGGTTAGACCACCGGTTGCGCGATCTAAAGATAATTGTGTTTGGCGGAGTTCGGGTCTGCTAGATTGGCTACGCTTTTGAAGACACTTTTTCGGAGTGTCGTCTCAAGTGTGTGGTGCCGTGAATAGTGTCACCTTGTAATTTAGATAAACAATATTTACACTGAGCTATATGTTTAGTGTTACCTTCATTTTCCACCTCGTCAATTATGTCGAAGTGATCCCAAACTGTCGAGGTACGCTTGCATTTCCTCCTGGAGGTCGCAACACTTGCCGACGCAGACGCAGACACAGTCGCACTCGCCGCTTCTCCACGCCCACCACCACTATTGCGACCACGACCTCCAATACGTCCACCATGGCTCGGATTAGTAGATTCCTGCGTAACAAACTCATTAGTGGAAAACTGCCCTTCTTCTACATTGTGTTGGGCATCAACGGGAATACCACTATAACCAAAAGGATCCATTATAAAAAAATAAGATGGATTTGAGAGAGATAGAGATTTAGGATAATGTGATAGTTTTTAGAAAAATTGTGAGAGAGATTGAGAGAGATTGAGAGAAATTGAGAGAGATTGAGAGAGATTGAGAGGGATTGAGAGGGTTTGAGTGAGAAAAATGTGTGGGGGATGAGGGATATTTATAGGGAAATTTTGGGGTTAAAAATGATTTTTTTCAAAAAAAATCGGGATAAACGGCTATTTTTTGAAATTCGGGCAGTCGGGCAGTTTCGGGCAATTCAGGTTTTCGGGTAAAATTAAAAAAACTAGTCATTTCAGGTAATTCGGGCAGTCGGGCACCTAGGGCAGGTCGGGTTTCGGGCAGAATTCGGGCAAAAATTCAAAAAACTAGCCATTTTCGGGTAATTCGGGCAGTCAGGCACCTCGGGTTTTCAGGTAGAATTCGGGCAAAATTCAAAAAAAGTAGCCGTTACGTGCATTCGAGCAGGTGGGTTCGGGCATTTTTCAGGCACTTCGGGCACACAGAATTTTCGGGTAATTTTTGGGTCGGGCAATTCGGGCATGGTCGGAAAAATTCAAAAAAATTCCGGCGGACGGCAATAAACGGCGATTAGACGGTGGCGGGCATAAGAGTCAATGCAATTCGGGCTGCCCGAGCCCAAACCCGAAAATCTACCTTGGGCGGGCGGGAAATGGGCTTGCCCGCCCGAGCCCGAAAAAATTCGGGCTTCGGGCAGCTCGCCAACCCGAACTTCCAACACTAGTGTTGATGGGGTGTTGATGGACCCCTCCTTTGCCATGATATTTATTGTAGGAATATTGAGGAATACCCTCTAAAGAGTTGATTATTGGATTTATGCCCTCCGATATTTGAGCTTCGGATGTATGCCCCTTCAAATCTGTTACTGAAATTACTCATGGTCAAAAAGATAATCAACAAGATTACAAATGATAATATGTACCAAAAGCTGCCGAAAGACAATCTGCGATCGCCGATGCTAGTAGCCAAAAAGGAATTTGGTAGATTATATTTCATAATTTACCAGATTATCTTTTTATTTTCAACTAAAAAACAATCACCAAAACAGATGACAAAAGTTTAATATCAAGTCATAATAACGGTTTATATCATGAAATCAACATCAAGTCTCTTATTTTGATGAAAAAAATCCTCAAGGTCTGGGATTTGGCCAATGGTGCTTGGACGCTGCATCTAGAGAAACTGATGAATGGCGTCCACTTAAGACGAATGGTGTGGGAAGCGATGACGGTGAAAATCAATTTGATCTTTAGTCTCACTAGGTAACGACGTCGATCTTTGTGGCTGTTCACAACTGATCTAAACTGGTGGAGTTTGCTCAGATCCATTTATAGAATTAGAATGAATTTTTCAATAATTATTAATAATGTTAATATTATTTTATTTAATAAATATATTTTTCCTTTTTTTTAAGAATTTAAAGGGAGAAGTCAAATCGTTTTATTAATGATTCAATGAAAGAGTTTGGATCTAGGTTATCGGCTCTATTCTCATTCATGGTGCCTCTTACATATCTGAGAAATTAGAATTTACATATGATTCTGGCCTCTATGATACAAGAACTTTGAGGGACAAGTTGAATCATTTTATTAATAGATCGATGAAAGAGTTTGAGTCTAAGTTAAATAAAACTGGTAGGTATCTATATTGATCAAATGAATTTCATTATGATGGTAATTAGAATTTGTCTTGAAACAATTCTTGGTATTCATTGATATTTATGAAATAAAAAATCACTAGATCGTTAGAGTTAGGGCCGCCGTTTACCGGGACTTCGATCGCTGACTCCCCTGTCATCAGGTCAGTACTTTGACATGCCGACACTGGACAGACATCACTCCCCATACATGGTCTTAGGACTTTGCGGAGACTTGTATTCTTGGTAACCAATTGCCCAGGTCTGGTTACTGTGACCCCCTTTGTGAGGAGGCACCTCTTCTCCTGACGTTACGGGGCTACTTTACTGAATTTCCAGCGGGAGTTGTCTCGAGCCCTTATGTATTTTCTACCTACCCACTTGTGTAAAGTTTGACCTAACCCATAAGTTAACTAATTACTTAACTATTGGCGGGTCTCTTTGTCTTTAGCTTATGGGCCTGTTATTCCCGCTTGGATTTGAAACCTATACGTTGATGCTTACGATTTCAATTGCCAAGCTAGTGGTTTAAAAGAGATCTCTAGAAAAGTATTTACTATCCATTTCGGTTAGCTCTCATTCATCTTTCTTTGGCGAGTGGTATGTATTTTCATGGTGCTTGTTTTTCTAATTATGAAGTATGGTCAAGCGATCCTACTCACGTTAGACTTAGAGTACGTTTGTTTTCTATATTCGTCTCTGATTCTGAATCATGATTCATAATTTTCTACAGTATTTTCTCTCATAAAAAATACACGTAAAACGAGAATGATTCTGAATATATAAACTAAACGTCTTATAAGTGCCCTAATGGTTTGGCCAATAGTAGATCAAGAAATATTGAATGGTGATTTTTGTTTTTGTTTTTTTTTTTTTCAGATTTGGCAAGCATTTAGAATAACTAGTAAATTACAACTCTTTAAAAAAAATGCTAGTTACTACCATCTATGGAATAAACTATTTACTACTATAAAGATTTAACACTTGACTAGTTGCTATGATTTGTATTTATTTATTTTGCTTAAACTGTATGCACATCTCTAACTTTAGCTAGCATGAGAAGGATGACAGAATCTATAACCTGTCGGTCAATTTCGGCAATGGCACTTCGTTCATCATGTTTTGCTTCTTTCGAGTGAAAAAAGACGTGTTTACAGCAGCAATAAATAAATAAAGAAATAAAGAAGAAAAAGAGATATAATTGTTTGAAGATTTCGGTCGTTTAAAAGAAAACAAAACGACGTCCATTTACTACTTAAATTGTGCTCCTCTTTATGTCGTAGGAGGGCAGGTTATTCTTTGCTTTAGCGAGTCCTAATCCTAATGAAACACAACAATGATAAGGACTCCTAACGTAATGTGGGCACTACTAATTTATAACAGAATCTGCTCATCACTTAAACTTTGTTCTTAGAAGCATATAATTAATTAAGCAAGCATAATCTGATGAAAAGTGCTAAAATCCAGATTCTTCTTTCAGTTTCGCCCTTTGAGGCCTGCTTTTTCTTCTTGTTCTTCATGTCCGCGACTTTGAAGCTTGTGAACATGATGAGCAATAAGAAGAAAGATGAGACCTTTAACATGAAACTCAAAGAACAAGAATCCAGGCCATAGTTATAGAAGCAAAAGATTAAGGATTTAAGGTGTATTTCTTGTTCTTTTTTTGTGTTTTCTTACTGCTCTCAAATAGGAAGACTCAAAATGACTGTATGCCAAGAACCAAATTTAATGGATGTTTTATGCTCGTTTTCTTATGAAGAAAAAAAGAACAGAGAAGAAAGCATACATACATCCTTTCATTATAAACGGTTCTGCCCAATAGGGCATCTACAGTTAAAAATTATTAATTTGAAATAAGAAGGAAGCAAGTAGAAGAAATCTATGCATGCTACATATCCATATGATGAACTCCAAACCATTAGAGAACCTCATTCTTCGAACAGATGACACATGGAATCCACTAACAAACTAACTCGAACAGATGACACGGAATCCGCTAACAAACTACCTTCTGAATGGTCTAAAAGAAACGGGTAGGAAATTCTCATCTTTAGATATTTTGAAAAATAAATGGAGGGAAAGGAAACAACCCCATGTTCTCATTTATACAAACCCTAAATTCTTTACAAAATTCACAAGTATTCGGCCCCTCTTTCCCCAGAAAGATTACCTTTCAGCACAATGCTTTTCCGTAATGTTCAAAACTTGGAAGGCTTTTTTTTTTTTCTTTTGCCCCTTCCGTAAGGAATGTTGCCATCAACTTTGCTCTTCATCCCTTCCGTAAGGAATGTTGCCATCAACTTTGCTCTTCATCCAACGCATAGACAGGTATTTGCCATAATTTTGTGTTCTTCTTTGGATCATCGGTGAGGCTGAGATCCGTATCGTCTACCTTGAATGTTCTAATAAATGTTTTGGCCCCCATCAAGATAAGCCTCTCGATCATGAATAACTGGTAATTGTTCTCGATCACAGGATCCAGAATGTGGCTATAGTTTGATGAATATGCCAATTTGTACCTGAAAATAAGAGCCATTAACAACTGAAATAAGGAAGTGGTGATTTGGATCCCCAAAACGTTTTTTGGAGAGAATTTTCCTTTCAGATGATAGCATTACGTGAATCGTAAGTCACCATGATCAACAAGAAGATATGTTGTAGAGAAGAGTTTGTTACCTCACAGCGAGAGGTGAAAAGAATCCTGGTGTCCTCTCATTTGAAGCAATAAAAAGAGTTCGTCCTTGTGGAACCCATTTTTCGATTCTGCGGAGAATAATCTCTGCCCGTGTATCCCTGTCAAGATGAGGATGCAGGGTCCTTTTGACTCCAAACCTGTCTTTCCTAGTTTTAATTTTATCACCGCGACGAACATGGATGGCATCATAATCACCAAGAAGAGCTTTAATCTGGAAAATTATTTTTGCAAAATTTTAGATACGTGATGGAAGTATATTGCCAAATATCCTTGATAAGATGTACCAAAATATCCTCAAATATTGTGAGGAGATAGTCAACAGACTAAAGCAATGTTATTGAAGAATAATCCAGAAACATAAGCTCTTTTATCTTCTCTTTTTAAGTTTAAATTCTATAAGAAAGTTGGCATAAGTCGAATGTTAGCCATTTGACAGAACAGATGCAGCGATAGACAACAAAGCCATGTCTATATGATGTTAGAGCTTACAGCTACGATCTAAAACAAAATCTTAGAACCTAAATTTCCTCCTCTTTTTTTTTTTCTTTTTTTTTTTTTTTTGGGGGGCAAAAGGCCCATTAAAAAGCTCAAACATAGAAAGGTAAAACCAAAAAAGGACAAATTATACGGTTGCCCTCCGAACTATAAAGTCTTGTCACAAAATGTCCCTCGAACTTTATTCCCCCCCCCCCCCCCCCCCCCGAACTTCAATAGTTCTTGCAAATTTTCTCCCTCTGTTAAATGCTTGATGAAAAATGTCATGTAAAATGCAAAAATTAACAAAAGAACTGCTAATGTTAATATTTTGAACATAAATAACACGTTTTACACAAATAATGAGTGTCGTTTAAATAATATTTAGTAACCAATTACTCAGCAGAAATTATCATTTTTTTTACTATACTTAACTTTCTCCATAATTTGCTTGGCCTAGGGACTTTTTGGGGTTCATAAATGCGGTCGACAGCAATAACGGAAGTAAAAATTTAATAAAGGGGGAAATTTTACAAAAGTTATTGAAGTTCAGGGGTAAAAAAGCTACAATTAAAGTTCGGGAGGCATTTTGTAACAAGGCCTATAGTTCGGGGGGCAACCGTATAATTTGTCCCTGGGAAAATGATTCTTGGCTTGGAAATCCATTGTAGCTGACCAGATTATTAGAACTCCTCCATCTGGACCAAGCAAAGCAAGAACATATCTGAAGGGAAATCATAAACTACCTCCTTCACTTGTTTATTGTTTTCTTTATTTTTGAACTTCAACCTTAGTTTCTTTACCCCTTCATAAGAACTTTTAGAAGCATGACCCTTACTGACAGGCTCTACGCAAGCATCAGTCTGAAAGGACATTACTAAACTTTAAATTTGTTATGAATAATCGTGTCTTAGCTCGTCGATTGTACTCGAGACGACTATTTAAGGATAACACGGCACTTAGTCCGACCCCCACCCTCTCAAAGGGGCATAATAATCTTTAGAATAATAACCTTGGGTGCAACAATTTAAAGAGCTTAACCATAATTTTTTTTCTTTCTCTAGAAAATCTAGGACTGGCTATTAGGCCATAATTTATCAACTAAGATATTTGTACATCGAGAACTAATAAAGACTTCACCATCACGTCTAAATCAACTATGTAGTTCAATTATTATTCACGTGTCTGAGTTTTTAGAAGCAATTATCCTCTAACAATCCATTTTTCTTATCTCTGTTTTATTTGGTCTTATATATATCGTGTTTCACGTCAGCTTTCACATCCTATATCCCATAACAATTGCAATTCGGAGTGCATAAATTCAAAATAATAGAAACTGTTTAACGATATTAGTGACAGGAACCAATATAGCATTAGAAGTTCTAAAACATAAGAAAAAACTGGCCCACCAGTCACCAGTCACCAAAATTTTTACATTTTCATTCATACTTCATAGCTGAGCCACTAGTTGTTGATGAAAATTGTGTGCGAGATTTTCCTTTCGTGGTTATCTAGGTTTGGAATCATCTATAGCACTAGGAAAACTTAATTTCTCATATATGCACTGATGCACACAAGTAATTTGTACCTAAAAATGTAACGTCCCCCCTTGTATACTCCTAGTAGCCTTTTAACATCCTGCTAATACCCACATCTCAATCAGTTACCAAAACTAAAACAAACTACTAACGAACATACAAATCCTATTGATAAATCCCATCATGTTTCAGTAAACCACGTAATACTAACCTTCTCTGCTGCAATCCTTAATTTTGGTGCCGCCATTGACGGGAGAAACGAGTATGGCAAAATTATTGCACTGTGGTTATTTCGATCTTTGCACTCCATAAACCTAAATAGCAATGATTGTATTTACTTTCTGAGAATAAAAATATCATGGATTGTAAGAATTATATCACAATCGTATTTACTTTGGAATAAACAACCACAGCTTTTATCTCCTAAAAGGGCTGTCACTGAATTTCAGAAAGTATGTATGGCAAAGACCAAATGAATCAGCATAAGTTTATACTAGTTGCGCCTGAAATAGATGATCAAAGGAAATAAGCATCCAAATTCAGAAAAGAAGTTACCATGAAAGAGGGCTTGCAGTTCTGTTTATAAGTAAAAGATTCGAGTAACGACTGTTCTCTTTGAGATTGACTCGACTAACACCCGCTACATGGGCAACTCCTCTAGCTCCTAACTTCATACTTGTCATTAGCACCTGATGCCATAGTTTTGAATTGTCCAAAATTACTGGTACAGTTTCGGATATGAAGTCCATATCATATAAAGAGTCCATCGCACATGAGCTTGCTGCCCACCTGCCAAAGAAAAGGAAATTAGTTCAAATCACATGACAAGGGATTTTATTATGCATACAAATTAACTTTCTGAGAAAATCCAGAGTCGAAAGAGAGTATATGGTAGTGATTCTCCTTCCAAGGGGGAAAAGAAAAGTTCTGTCACTAACTCACTTCTTGAAACTAACAATGAGAAAGAAGTTAATTATCTTACAAGTCCTCTGAAGTTGCATTGTTGTCTTGATGAAGTATTCCCTTCTTGTTGTGTATTGGATTGATACACATTCTCGCAGGCATTACAAAAGTTCTGCAACAAGGAAAACCAACAAAATAGAAAAAATATCAGACAATCCTATCGATATAGAAACCAAGCCATTTCATGATAACCCGATGTCCCCTAACTTCAACACTGGTCAGTTGGTAGGATAGTAAGACTACTCAGTCTTCTCAACAAGATCTTAGGTTTGCTTTGTCCCACTGCAATGAATTGAGCAATACAACGGATCCATGTACCACACGGGGATGCACTGCATCCTCAGGGTCATCTGGGTACGCCACCTCTATCCTTATAACCCTTTTTTTAAGGGAAAAAACATATCCCCTAACTTCCAAAATTAGTGACCAATCCAGGTTTAACAAACCAACGAACATAAAAGTCGGAATTACGGAGAAGTTCAATGGGGATGGTTACCATCATAACTCCATCTCACAAACTAATAGACGTCAACTTCTATATCAAGTTCAATGTGTCAAGAAATGCACAACTAATTCAAATGACTTTCACAACACTCAATTCAAAATTCCAAACACAACCCTTTTCACACAATCCATAAATTGACAATTCTCTGCTCGCAAACAAAGGGATTATTAAGCATTTCAACCTTAAAAAAAAAAAAAAAAAAAAAAAAAAAAAGAACAGAGAAACAAAAAAAAACCCAGAAAAAGATCTCAACTTACCTCTTAAGGAACATGGCCTCTTCGAGGGCACACCTGAGGCTAGATTCCTGGTGACCGAGACCTTCACAGGAGTTGCAATGCTTTCCAGGGCAGTCAATTCTGTTGCCCCAATACAAGTACTTTTCGTTGCCCGTGTGATGGTACTTGCGTTTCCTCAATCCGAGGCCGAATTCTGGGTTTTTATAGGATGATAAGAGGGACCCATTTGTGGAAATTAGATAAGAGAAAAGGAACAGGAGAGCAATGGCGGCCACGGAGAGGACGGAGAGGATGATTGAGGATCTGGGTTTGTTTGGTTTGGGCTTTGGGGTTCTGCGGAACGCCATTGAAGTTGCAGAGAAGAAGATTGAGGAAATATCTACGGAGAGCTCTTTGTCGCTCAGATCTTGCTTGCTTGGTTGCTTGCAAGGCAAATGCCAAGGCCATCATCATTGTCATCATAAGCTCCACATGGGATGGTGTTTGTTTGTTAACTACTTGGTTAAAGCTTAAGGCAATTGATTAGGGGTTTTTTTTTTCAACATTTACCAAACACCTAGGAACAATGGTAACGAGGACTAATAATAATAATAATAATAATAATAATAATAAGGCATTCTTTTATCTTGAGACTTTGAGGGCTTTTTGTTTTGTTTTTTTTTTTTTTTTTGATGTTTTTGAGGTAGGTAATTTGAGACTTGTTGGGTGCGTTTGGAATTGGTTCCAAAACGTTTTTATTTTCTGTACGAAAATGAAAATGAAAACGTTTTTAGTTTCATTTTTGAATTATTTCTAAAAATGCCTTTGGTAGTTTTATTTAGAAATTGATTTCAGTTTTAAAAAAAACTGAAACTGCGTTTGGTGGTTTAATTTTTGAAAACATGTAATAATATATTAAATAAATAATATTATTAAATATA